AAAAAAGCCTCCTACCTATTTTCCATAAAAAAACCTTTGTAGCAGTCCCAGAGGAAAAGTCAAAAGTTTGACTTGAAAAACGGAGCTACTTCAAAAGCATTGTCAAACAGAGGTGAAGGTTTCTGAAAAAAACCCCAGCATAAATTAAAGTATGGTGTGTTCATAAATCTCTCCATAACTTTCCACAGTCTGTCGGTGAGAGAGGTGCACATATAGAGGAACATATAGCACAGCTGTAAAACTAACTTAAATAAAGCAGAAAATCGATTTGTTTATTAGCTGCTGTTTGGGCTCTGTGTGTGTGTGTGAGCGAGAAATGAAAGAAAAATGGAGAGGTTTTTTTTCAATAATAAAAAGGGAGTTGCACTGCAGGGCCCCTAAAGCTTGTGAAAAATTAAACTCGACGGATTCAAACTGTCCTATTTCCACTTCAAAAGAGAAGAGGCACTGAGCTCTTCCCAACTTATCTTCAAACGCCCAGCACCCTCCAAAGTTTCTTTCAAAAAAATAAAGTCTCCAGTTCCCCCAAGCACTGTACCCGTTCCTGTAGCTGCTGTCTCTCCCTCTTCTAATTATACCCATGTGAGTCTATTAATCAACTTGTAAATTATTTAGAGAGCCATGCGCTGTCTTCAGCTAGTACAAACACACTGCATGCAAAGACTTGCTGAAAACCAATGGAGCTCCCAAAGGGTCTCTCCAATGTTCAGACAGCTTGGAGCTCGCCAGTACTGCACGTTATAAACAAGGAATAACACTCAGCTTACCTCCTCAGATAGGAAGATTTACTCAGCCTTTCAACTGGGAAACTCTTTGCAAGTTTTTAACAAAGAGGAAGCTGCTCTATTGTCAAATCTGTGCTTCACACTTAGTGATGAGAATATTAATTTGCTGTCAAAAAAAAAACCAACCCCAAAAAACAAACCTCAACCCAAACCCAAGTGCTTTCAGGGAGACTCTGATCACTATCACCAAGGGACCCCAACTTTCAGAGGCTGCACCAAAATCACCCCTTTAAAACCATTCCAATTTGAAACAAGGGGAAAAGAAATCCAGATTTGTACAGTAATAGCTTTTATTAGAAAAGAGGAGAAATTAGGGAATTCCAGATTTTACCCCCTACGTGCAGACAGCCATTGGGGACAGCTTCAGATATCACTGCTTAAAAAAACAAAACAGAGAAAGGAAGGGGAAAAAAACCAACACAGATTATGTGTGTTCAGCTCTAACAGGCTGCAAACGGTGCAGTGTTACCTGTCTGCCATGAATAAGCTCTGTTACCACCTGAATCTTCATTTGGGTGCAAAGGAAAACAATTACCCTAACTAAGAGCAGTTCTCCCAGATGCAAACCAGAATCTCACTGGTTTGGGAATGGTTTTTCCTCCCACTGCTCTTCATGTTGTTTCCCTGTCACCTCACTTTTCTTGGCTCCATTTCCTGCAGCCTCAGAAACAGATATATTAATTAGCAGTGATCACTCTATGCTATTTCACCAGGAAGCCTCGACAGAATGGCCTGAAATTTCAACTGACTGATGACCTTCCCTATTTTTGTGATGCCCCAATGTTTCTGCTTCTCACTAATAAAACACAAACATCTCAAGGAGCAAACACCAGTGACACTGGAGGGGGGAAGCAAAAATGCTTTCTGCAGTGTTTTTTTTTCTTTCCAGTGTAGGAGGAACCTTTAAACTGGTGAACATGGATCCTGCAGAGGGAACTTTAAATTACTGTGTCCATGTTTCCAGTGAGACAGGTCCAGAAGGCAGCCCAGCCCTTCTCAGGATGATAACCTGGGGACAGGAATGCTGCCTAAAGGTCTTCATGAAGCTGTGGGGTCTAGGAATGGGCTGTCTACACCTGCATCATGTGTCCAGGGGAGGAACAGTCCATGGAACAGTCTCCTCAGAACATTTCAGAAGGAATCTACCAAAGAAATGCAGTGATGGGAGTTGTCTCTCTGCCTGGAGGAGAGTTCTGGTCACTACACTTCTCTCGTACTCCAAACAAAAGTCTTCCCAGGCTGCCCCAGCAAACAGTCTGTGCCAAATTTGGCAATTATTGACCAAGACTTGAACTAACTGGAGTTAGTGACAGAAGACTGGTCTGAGGCTCCAATGCTGCTAATTTCCTGCCCATAGCATCGTTAGTAATAATTGCCCAGAAATCACAATATCCTAAAGGAAGAGTCTGTGTGTTTCAGACTGGTTGTCCAAAGCACAACTTGATGTTTATGACAGACAGAAAGCTGTCAGGTTGCTGAACCTATCACTGAAAATGCATTTTTCAATATCTAGTGTGCACCTACTGTAGACTAGAATGTCCTGGGAATTAAAAAATTAATGGGCTCCGAAATATCCATGCTGCTTCCATTAACAAAAATAAATCTCCATACACAAACCTGAGAAGTTTGACCAAGCAAGTCTTTAGGAGAGAGCAGACACTGGAACACACAGAAAATGGGAAGGCACTGGGTTGGCTTCTGGGGGAAATGATAGACTTGTCTGGGCTGTTCCTGAAATACAAGATCTATATCTGCTGCAGCAGCAGAGGGAAAACAATACAAAGCCTGTTGGTGAATCCCAAACCATGAAGAGATCTGAGTCAGCCAAGCAGAACTAGAGCAGGGCAGACAGTGGAGAGCCTCAAGAACTCAATAATGAGGTAGCTTTGAATGAGCTGGTTTTGAGCCCTGTTACGACACCACAACATGTCCTGTTGGCATATCTGAAGTGACTAACTGTAGGCAATCAGTTGTGTCCATGAGAAGGGAAACCACAGTGGGACCAGTCCCCAGAGGGAGCAGGTTAAGAATATATGAGCCATGTCCTCCAGATTTCATGGCACGAGTTTCATGTTGACCTAATAATGACTTGAGCACAACATCTGTCATGGTCTGTCTTTGCTTCTGTGACAACATCACTTGCAGGATTCCTTGTCCAAAGGAACAACTAAGCCTTCTTACAACTAGAAATGTAATGAAAATGTTGAAGTCCTAATTGATTTTTCAGTTATAACACTGTCTGCTATTGACTACATCAACTCTCTTCAAGTGAGATTGTCTTGAAACTGAATGTAGTCAATAACAGTGTGAGAATCTTTCCCCTGTTTTAACCTGGCTGTAACTCTGCAGCAAGAGAGCAAAGATGCAAAGATTCTTTGCCCACCTTTCCCTCTCCAGCACACTGTGCTATTTCATTTTCTCCAAGCCTCTTGTGAGGGCAGTAATGAATTCTTGTTAGTGTTTACTAATGTAAATTCATTCTTTGTTATCCCTGGGAGAGGAGGATTAGCAAAATGACAGAACTTATTATTTCTGGGATTGCTGTATGATATTTATCTTTATTCAGCCCTTAATTTTGTGGTATGTCACACCAGATAAAATATATATGTGCATACAAGCAAAAACTAAGGGAGAATTCTCAGCGTAATGCACAGAAATGCAGCTATGATCCCTATTAGCATTCAGCAGTGTTGTACAGCTTTATCCTTACATGCTGTATTAAAGAATTAATCTAAATCTGAAATAATTTCTAATTTGGAGGAAGAAAGGAATTACAACTTCAATTTCATTGCCCTGAAATGAAAGCAGCTCCCTTGGACTAAGGATGTGCATATTTTTAGGACTGGCTAAAAAATTATGATCTGTGCAATTATTTTACTCTACTAGGAATGCATTTGGTATCTCCTTTATAAGGAACTTGAATGGTTAAGATGAAGTTTATAAAACACAAAGAACATTTTAGGAAAGAAAGCTCTTAGAGGACCTTTCTTTGAATAAACAGATCATCCAAACTCCCATCTCAGCCATAACTGAAATTTAAAGATTGAGGTATTGACAGTGGTTGTTCTCCTCTTCACAGAGATGAAGTAATGGATACCATGAAAGAGACACAGACACAGACCCTAAAATGATCTGTCTGGATGAGTTACACTGCACACACAAATAGCCACATTCAGGTCAACCAGACTGTACACATGAAGAAGTTATTCCCTTACACAAAAACCTCAGATCCACTGCATCAATTCACACTGAGATCTCTTGGCCACTCTGAGCAGCACAAAATCTTCTCCTAGGTCTCTGTGCCTGGTACAGAGAGCCAGCTTCTCTCTCCCAGGCTGCAGAGACTCCTGCTTTCAATTCCCATGCTTCCCACACCAGCTCCTCACCCCAGCAAAGTGGTGGCTGCCACAGCAAATTAACCCACTGACCTGAGTTACTGTGTTGCGAGTAAACACAATCCATTCACTAGAGATGAAGTTTAGGGTTAAAACACATTACCTTGTGGCTTCATCAAGTGCCTGACAGAGGGACAGATGCCCAAAGCTGCAGCTTGCCAAAGTTTTTTTGGAAATGCATAGAAAAGTCCTGACTCTCTTGGTATGGCATCAAGGGAACCTCAGCTAATTTTCTAGGCTCATGTTTCAGATCTGTCTAATTCAGTCTCAGAATTAATGGTGCAAAAAAAGGAGACTTTCCAGCTTTCCACCTCATCCAATAACTTTCTTTGCTAAAAAGAAAAGACAATGAAAATTTCTCTTTTCTCAGGGGGGATGGCTCAAAATTCTGTGAATACTGAAGCTTAACCAAGATTTCTCCATCTTCAGCACAATTGTCTCCTTGTGTTTGCACCACTGGTAACTGATTTGTCCTGCTTTGAAACCAGTTTAACATGATAATGTGCCTTAAAAACTGAACATTTAAAAATTGTATCAGAATTCTGACTTGGATTTAGAGCTAAACACATGGAATTCAAACTTTGGAACGTGCACAAGAGATCTGAACTTTGCTGGAGCAGTGAATTATTTGCTTTGAAGACATCAAACACCTTTGAGATGTTACACAGTGCTGCAAATCACATGGAATGAATGGAATGAATGGAGTTCCAGGTTACTCTGAAGTAACTCAGATTAGAATCTGACCAAGAAAAACTCACTCACCACTTATTTTTTGCCACACATTTGTACACCAGTGTAATGAGACAACAACATGCCCTACCTGGGCATCCCTTCTCAATGTAAGGCTTAACGAGTTCTCCAAGTTTTGTCTCAGCTGCAACAGTTTCCTTTAGCAGTTGCCCACAGCAAACTAACAGGAAGGAAGAACAAAAAAGACACAAGGTTAAATTTTAAAAAGGAAGCAACAAAGAAAAGAAACAAAAAAAACCAGAAGCTGCATACTGGAATAAGGTCACTGAATAAAATAAAAGTTGGATAGTTTCTGGGTTTGTTGTTAGGATTATTTTTCTTGGCCAAGCAGAGTGAAAAGCAAAGAGAGTGAGAATATGGAATGCAAAACAAAGCATACATTGGCAAAGAACATATTAAAAATGGAGATGGAGAGAAAGGTGTTAATCAAAGATGTTTCTGGGATAATAACTCAAGGGATTGTGAGTGGTTTCCACTTGTTATAAACTTGTA